CCAGTGACCAAAACGTCCTCATAACCTGCACCTGCACAGCTATTCTCAGTATTCAACTGATAAGAAAAACCTTCAAGCAAGAGCCTGCATAGAGCTGGACAGGTTTTAACTGCAGGAAAGAAGTCACCTCATTGAGGTCTTTTGTTGCTCTTAGGTGGTATTCTGTCTGAAGCACTCTCAAGTAGTTTAAAACTGTGAAGCCTTAATGGAGTGACAGAGACTGATAGAAAGCATTGGCAGCTGAATCCCTCTCTGTGTCCCTGAAACTGACACTAGAGAGAAAAAAAAATTGTGAGTTATCCTGTTAAGGATGTACATGTAAGGTTCTCAAATGAAAATCTACCATTCGGAGGAACTTGTAACCTTGATCAAGTCCTCCAGGTAAGCTTTTATATAATTAGATGATGGATTCCAGGTGTGGGTGCATTTTCGTCTGTATAGAAAGAATTGTAACCACAGACATTGTGATCCAATGTGCTCAGACAAAAAAGTCGACAGAAGGAGGATTAAGCTCTAAGAACATGGCATGAAAGGTTTCTGTGCTTTGTATTTCTGTACATCAGAGAGAGTAGATGGTAAAAGTGCATATTAGAATCGCTGTAAATATGCATTTAAACCAAAATGATTGTTGTCGTGGGGAACTCTTATTTTTTTCGCTTAGTAATTGGTTTTCATATTATCATGGCCAGATAACTGCTGGTTTTACTAGCCAGAAATTGTTTTAAGTGCTTCTGAAAACCTGAAACAGCTTGTGATGAATGAGTGTTACAAAAGCCTCATAATGGCGCACGTCCTGCTCTCCACCAAGGCTGTGCAACTGGGAGATATTTTTGTGATTCTGTAGTGTTATTGCATTCTTCAGAAAAGTAATAATAAAATATTGAATCAAGCTGAAAGTATGCACTGTAAAAATATCCAGAAATTGACAGTGTTCTGTATTTTGTTTCAGTTTTTTTCATTTACATTGCATTATGAAAAATATATCTCTCCCCTAACAGCTTTTGATGTTGACAGTATAGTTTCATGTGATATATTGGTAATAAAATGGCAGTACTTTTTTCTGTTATTTCAGTTGTTTCCAAAAAGGTGGTCATGGGACAATGTGTGTGTTTACATTAACTAATAAAAGGACTATTAACTATTAAAGCATAAACTATCGCAGATTTAAAAAATTGTATTTGTTAATTACATAAAAAAACGACAACATGCAAATAAAAAGCCATCAGCCTTTAGTTTTTTAAAATTGCGTACTCGGATGTTTATATTAACGACACAGCAATAGCACCATGGTAAACTTTGACATCTTTACTGCTCTAAAGTAAATAATAAAGGCCACGACTGAACATAGAGGATGATTTCCAAGTGGCTGTCTCCAAAATAACCAAAAATCACTTGTCCTGTAAACATTGTGCCCACATAGGTTAATATTAAATTAAGTAAACGAATAAAGGACTTGAAAAATATATGGTTGTTATATACTGTTGCACTTCTTGTTTTGTCAATATGGTTGTGTTTATATAGGCCTATTGATGTGTGTGCACCCTTGTGTGCAACGTTTGTATGTTTATAACCACCTCAGAGGATAGTGGGGGTCATGAGTCAATGGTATTAATTTTAGGAACTTAATTATCTAGATGTTATTTATTATGTAATATATTGTTTCAAACTATTAAAATGTCGATAAAGTCTCTCACAGCTGAATTTCCAACATCAAAAATTGACAGAACAGAGATCAAGGTCCCATAATGCCATTTATGACTGTAAATAAATGGAACATAAATTGTGAATCATGAAATATTGAGACATTTAGTTAATGGATATTTTTTACAGGTTCGAACCTCGGGTCAGTTGGCGTTTCTGTGTGGAGTTTTCATGTTCTCCCTGCCTTCACGTGGGTTTCCTCCGGGTGCTCCGGAATTCCCCACAGTCCAAAGACATGCGGTACAGGTGAATTGGGTAGACTAAATTGTCCATAGTGTATGAGTGTGTGGATATTTCACAGAGATGGGTTGTGGCTAAAAGGTAAAACTCAGTAAAAACTTGCTGGATAAGTTGGCGGTTCATTCCGCTGTGGCAACCCGGGATTAATAAAGGGACTAAGCCAGCAAGAAAATGAATGAATGAATGATATTTTTTACAGTGTAGATTTTAGATTTAATGCAATATTATATTCATTTCAAATTGTTATGCCTCCTAAACAAATGTTCATGTGCATCATCAAGCCCTCTCATTTTCAAGCCCTCCTCTCCCCCTGACTTTCACAGTAATTTCCTGTAAACACACACAAAATAATAAAAACATAACAGCAATTTTAGTAAGTTCTAGCCAACATTTGTTTATTCTGAATGTAACTTTTTTCACTCAGAATCAAAAACAATACATTCATTAAAAGTTTATTTTTTGAATATAATTAAATAATTGAATCAATTTAATCCTTATTCCACCTCCACCAAAAAACAAGCAAACAGATATTTTCTGAAAACCTTCATTTTAATATTTTTTTATTTTAGGGTCGCAGGCTAAAAAGTTTGGGAACCCATATGTTATTTCACAAACTCAATTATCTAGATATTATTTATTATACAACATATTTTTTCTTTCCAAACCAACAAATATTTTATGACAATCTTCATTTTTTTAGTCCACAAAATAATATAATGATCAACTTTTTAATTTTGATTTAACACAAAATAAAAAATATTTTATAAAAATCTATCCGTCCGTCCGTCCATCCATCCATCCATCCATCCATCCATCCATCCATCCATCCATCCATCCATCCATCCATCCATCCATCCATCCATCCATCCATCCATCCATCCATCCATCCATCCATCCATCTATCTATCTATCTATCTATCTATCTATCTATCTATCTATCTATCTATCTATCTATCTATCTATCTATCTATCTATCTATCTATCTATCTATCCATCTATCTGCATAGATATGTAATGTAACCTATTTGATTTGATTTAATTTATTACAGCTAATTTATTAGGTAAATGTAGAAACCTTGCTTAAAGCAAAGAAGCTGTCATTAGTATTCGCTTTACAACCAAAAAACACATATTTTATTATGCTCAATAAAATGTAAATATGTGTTTTTTTGGCAGTAAATCAAAAGAAATATTTATGCAAAGACTACAGAATGGTACTCTGCACGGGTCTCTTATAAAGACACAACATTTAAAACGGATGGTAACTCTGAAGATAAGAACATTTTGAATCAGTTTATTAAAAGAAAAAATAAAAAGCTTTTAAAAACTGTGTCTGCTTTTCAAAGCTCGAGCATTAATTAACACTGTGCTGCTATTTTATAATCAAGGCCCTCACCTCAGTAAAATAAGGTGCTTTGTGATTCATTCATGCTCCACTTCACTTCAGGTGTCTAAAAGTATTCACCCCTCCTAAGTTTTATTGTTTTACAACACTGAAATACAGAACACATTTGACCTTTTTAACACTGATCAACAAAATACTATTCATTCACCGTAAGTGATTTTTAAATGTCAAAATCTATTACATTTATTATTTTAAAATGTATTTCTCTATGTATTCATATTAAATCAGCATTTAAATGCACCTTTGACAGCGATTATATCCTTGAATCTGTGTGGTAATTATTTATGTGACTTTTAAAAACAAGTAACGACTGAGGGGTGAAGCCATTTTACACAATTTTGCTTCTTTATACTTTTATTTAAAGATTTTTTTTTTAAGTACAACAGAACAACCCTGTCTCAGAACATACAAACTTTGCATGTAAATATATTATGACTTTAGTGAGTTCAGCTGATGGAAATACAAAATGTAGTGTTACAGAGTATGTAATCATCATAAAGTCCTGAAAGGTATGTGCAGTCAGTTTTCATGAGGGGTGCTGGATTTAGATTAAGCATGTTTCAGGTCTAAGTATCCGAGTAAGGGTTTCTAGGTAGCAAAGAATTTTCCCTTAGAACTGGACCTCCTAAATCAGAGCCTTTCCAAAATGATTGACGGAGGACATATCCATTAACCGATTCAAAATGGAGGAAAAGGAGATTCCAGTTTTTTTTAGTTTTAGCCGCTTGACTGCAGTCATGCCTATAATGAAGGCTTGTTGGAGATGTTTTTTTTGTTTTGAAACACCAAAAATAGCAATAGCTCTGTGAATTGTGCATTTAAACAGATTTGTTTTGTTCATTTTAATGCTTCATTTAAAATGTTCTTTATTTTCAGAAGTGTCCAGATGTCAAATTGTTCACTGTTTCAAGTCAATATCATAAAAAAAGGCCAATAATTTTTTTAAACTGAATTAATAGTTTCAATATTTTATATATTTAATTAACCTAAGGATAAACTTGTGTAAGTTAAATTTGTTTTTTTATTGTATTAGATATTTACACATTTATTTTTTATAGCTAATATTTAGTTGTTTAAATACTTTGTATTTATAGGCTAATTATTTAGTCACAATATATGCATTCTTTTATAATGATAAGAATTATGGATTTAATTGGCTTCAAATCAATTTGTAAATTATTTTTAAAATTTTAATCTTATTTTAACTCGTTTATTGTTAACTTTTTAATTTAAACCTAAATTTAAAGGCAGGCTCAGACTGACTTGTGTATTTAGCATTGAACACCATTGTGTTATAATAAACGTTTGTTTAAGTTTTTATTGTAAGAAGTTCATTATAAAATATAAAAAAAAAATTATAATTATTAATACAATAGAAGTATATTTTCTATTTATTTTTCCATATTAATTAATTAGGAAATTGCTATGGGAGCTTTAATGCTATAGCCTGGTTTATTTACCCTTGGCCCACCCTCTAAAACAAGTATGATTTTGACCCTTCACAAGAAAAAGTTTGGCCACCCCTGGTCATGAGACTCAAATGTGTAAATTCGTGGAAACGATTACCTTTTTATGGGCGCTCTCGACTACATGCACGCGCTAGTGAACTGCTACGCACACGTCTTTTACGTGGGCGTGCACGAGTGTTATTTCCTGTTCACGGTGTCATATGACTCCGGCTGTTCATCTCTGCTCACTGCTCAGCTGTTTACACATAGACCGTATAATTTAATTTAACTAAAACAACAACAATGTCGACGTTAGTAGCGAACCGGCCCGTGGATCTAAATGGCCCCGAAGCGGCGGCACGACAACACGCTCAAGCCGTGGTCAGAAACTACATCTCCCAGCCCAGACTGAGTGAGTTCAGGTCACCTTTCATTCATAGACATCTGACTGCACGAACACATCTGGCGTTTCTCTATCTGCACTGCTCTTTAGTTAGCATTTTGTGTGTAATCAGGTGTTAAACAAAGCCTAGACATTGGTGTGTTTGTCCAGTATATAATCATGTATTGCTTGTGTTGTCGAATGTCAGATTCGAGTGAATGTAGCACAACTGTCATGCTAACAGTCGGCTGAGATGTTTATATGAAATCGATCGCCTCTTTTGTTTATTTTACTCATTTCTTGAACCGCCAAAGTGTAAGAAAACATAAATACTTGCAATTTGTAAGCTTATTTAAGATAAAAAGCGAATAACCTTTGGTGTCTTTGAAGGTTGAAGCGATTGTTTATGCATGCTAGCTTGCTAATAAGGGCTACAGTTGATTGCTGATATGCATATCAGGTTTTTATTTAAACTTAAATGTTTATCTAAAGCTACAGTTAATTCTTCGTTTTTTTGTTATGGGTTGTTTATAAATGGCATTTTACAGCAGTATGTGCGTGTTTAAAGACATCATCTATGAATGATTTATTTGTCTACAATTGTTTAAAATCGAGAGCATGACCAACTCCATAGCAAATATTTAACTTCGGCCTGTGTGTTTTGGTCGATGGACTGTTTTTATTATTTAGTTTTTAATTTTCATTCAAATGCATACAGAGAGAGACAGATGGAGTGATGATCCCTCTCATGTGACATGATCACGTGACACCCAGCTGAGCTGGTGAATCATGCTCAACTAGGAACCCTCAGCCTCACACACATCATGTGACTTTTTTTCTAACTGAAAAGTTGTTTAAGATGTTATCTTTTTGATGCAACAGAACCCTAAATATGGTCATCTTTATCTAGAAACATTCTAAAATGTTAAAGCCATTGTTAAAAATCAAAAATATTAGAAAAGTTATATAAAAGAAATAACGGTTTCTGTAAAACCACACTGTATCTTTTTTCTATTAATTAATTTATTTGTGGATTTATTTACCTGAACTACATTTTATACATAATTCTTTTAAGTATTATTATAGTTTCATCCTTTAGTATTGTGTATTTGTTTTTGTAATTAGTTTTTATGAAGTAAAATGGAATTTTATTTATTTATTTTCAAATCATTGATTAAGTTAATAATAGTGAATTTTTTTAAATATTACAATTATGAAATTAATCAGATTATTTAATAATAAAAATGCAATAAATTATCATAATTTAATTTTAGAAATTTCCCTTTAAACCCCCTGTCAATTTCTTGCAGCCTCTAAATTGTGACTAGAACCTTTAGAAAACCGTAATGACACTGTTACATTTGCATTCAACTAATTTACAGCCTTTTGTTAGTAGAGTGTATAGTCTTATTTTAAATGATTAATAATAATCGTTTAATTCAAATAAACTGCAGTTTTTCATCATTTTTTCTGTGGGTAGAATCGTGAATAGGAGAATAACATTTTTCATAATCATTCTGCTTGAATGTTAATTAGCAGTAATACAAGCTTTTGTTTGCCAGCCTCTGATTTTACAGTGACATGTGAATCCATCACTGGTTCCGATCTATCTTTGAATTTGCTCATGCTGCTTTAGTCCATCAGAAATATGGGCTACTGTGAGGAGTGCTTTTCATCCTTTTCCATCATGTCAATTCAAATTGACTTTTTGTGTTCAGCCTCTTTCAGTCTGACTCTTGTCATTTCCATTTCTTGTCAAGGGTTTTGTTTTCAACTTGTTTGCCTTGTCAGATGCAACCTAATAGCACATCACAAATTGTTTAAAACAATATGAAAAGCACAGTTTCCCCCCCTTGTGTTGACATGTTTCATATTAAGTAAAAACATTGCCATGAACGTGATTTGCTGCTTGGTTGCAGATAGTGCTGTTGGGAGGGGGGGTTCTCGTTTTTGAGCTTTTCATTGGACAAAACGCAGTGTGAGTTATGGCTTCTGAAACTTAACATTGTAAGTGTTGAAAAAGCACAATTTAATTTGTCATTGGCACATAGAAATGAAATTTAACTGTATTTCATGACGTTTTTAGATTAGTCAACCTAACTCTTGTAAAATAAGGAAAACCCTGTGAGTTGAAATCATTGTTCAAACGGAGGAAGTAGAGCCTAAACTGCTGATGACCATAGTTTTGTATAGTTGCGCCATTGTGTGTTTTCCTTCATTGATTTTAGTTTTTTTCACTCAGTGTTTACTGTGCATTTTTAAAATGTTCTTAAAAGAATATGTAGGCCTACCAAGGCTGTATTTATAACAGGGGTCACCAACCCTGTTCCTGGAGAGCTACCTTCCTGCACATTTCAGTTGCAACCCTGACCAAACACACCTGTTTGTAATTATCAAGTGCTGCTTTAGGTACTATTAATTGGTTCAGGTGTGTTTGATCAGGGTTGGGACTGAATTCTGCAGGAAGGTAGCTCTCCAGAAACAGGGCTGGTGACCCCTGATTTATAAATTATTTAATACAGATGAATAACCAGTAAAAGGTTGTACAGTTTAAATGTTTAAAATTATTTCAAAAGAATGTTGTATCTGTACAAAAATTCAGGATGTTTGGTGAACAAAGTATAAAAGAACAGCATTTATTTTTGGTAAGATATCCATCGTGATCTCATGGCAATTCGTAACTTTTTGATTTAGTGGCTAAACTCATACCATCTAATTCATACAATTTAGTACGATTTGCTCATACCCTGGTTGTATTTAGGGGCGGGGTTGGGTGCTATGCCTCCTTTTAAAAATCTTACATTTTTGTAGGACTGAATGAATTAGCCACTAAACTGACAGACAAGCAATTATTTTAGGAAAAATAAATCATTTTTCTTGTGCAATCAGGCTGTAGAAATCTATTAATTCCTTGACATTAGTTCTGATCCATTTAGTGCATTTTTATGTAAATGTATTAATTATTGTTGCTTTAAAAAAGTAAATCTTACTGATATAAAGAATTTGAATGATATACTGCACTGTAAAAACTTAAACAATTTACAATAAAAAATGGCAGCTGTTAACTGATAAAAATACAGTAGGAACACAATTGTTTTGCAGTAAATTACCATATTTTGTATTTTTTATTTGTCATACACCAATGTTTTGAACTTAACTTTGTTAAACGGACAGAAAGCACAACCATAAGCAGGTGTGAATAGGAAAGTCATATGATGAACCAAAGCTCATCACAAACAACTATTCCACAAGCAGAAAATCCCACTAATAAATAGAAGACACTCAGTGACATTCACACAACTACTACACACCATCATGGTAACACAACATTAAAGTAATGCAATAAACATCATATATCAACATTAGATTTAATATACTACTCTAATGTTCGTGAAACAACAAGAAAAAACTAAAATAAAAAGAACCATAGTATTTTCAACAAAAAAAAAAAAAAAGAAAACATAAAAACTGAAGTTTAATGCAGGGAATTCTGGAAAAGCAAATTTGTGGTAATTCACAGTATAAATTAAGGACCCTTGCTGTTTACCAGGTTACAGATTTTTACAGTTGAAATCACAAACACTTTTTTTACAGCGTGGCTTTTGGAAGTGAGCTAGCACTACTTAAATTTCAGAGGAAGTGTTTGTTTCTTCTTTTTTAAGAGGTAGTAGACATCCTATGAGTCAAATATTCATACTTAGACTCAGTAAATGATCATCACCCAACATTTTTCCACTTTTATCTTTGATGTGCACATTTGTTGCTGTTGGAGATTTAAAAAAGAAAAAAAAAGACAATCAATGTTTTGTTTCGTGTGTGTTTGTTTCCTCCGCTCAAAATCCTGCATTTAACCTGCTGAAACATCAGATGATGCCGCAGTCATAATGTGTTGCCGGCATCTCTTCGATAACATAATTTGACTCTTGTGTATGATGTTTCAGCACTTGAGTAGTTAATTTTGTTTACCCCTTTAATGGAGAACCTTCCTAAAATTACTGCTCGTCTGGCATCTTTCTCTCATTTTTTCCCCCTTCATGTGTATTATTGATGTTATTCACTGTAAATCTCATTAATTTAGACCTCAAAACACACTGTCCCACAGAGGAGCACAGGTAGCCTGTTTCTCCTTTTTTTTTTCGAAAAGTGTCAAAGGAAAGCTCAGGCTAAAAGCCTCTTAGCAAACCAGGAAGAAAATAAATGACTTAATGGAAGAATTGAAGCCTTCCCTTCTGAAAGCCAAAGACGCTGCATGCGTAAAGACCCCCGATCTGAAACGCCCCCCCATCGCACTGTTAAAAAAAAAAAAAAAAAAACTCGCTAATGTAGGCATGCCAGATAGCAGCACCATTTTGTGCCTCATCAGTGGCAGAGTGCATGCTGATAGTGGGCTGTGATTGAAGGCAATGAAGACTGATGGGAAGGCAAACACACAGATCTGCACCCATGAGTCCTTGCAGCATCCCAGTCGAAAGGCCGTGTCCGTCAGCACGGGTCTGATTGGTCCCTTCTTTGTCCTTTAAAAAGCAGGATGAAAAACACGGTGAAAAGACCTTCAAGTTTAAAGTTTTTTTTTAAGTCTCTGATTTGAAAAAAGTAACATTGAGGTTATTGAAATGGCAGAAGTTGCAAAGAATGTTGCGAAATGTTTGGTATGTAGAAAATGCAGATTTAAAGTACATCGAATATTTGCAATTCAATTACAATTTGTGTGTGTGTGTGTGTTTTATCTTCTGTTCCCCAACACATAAACGTCGGCTGATGTGTTTAAGTAATTTGTTAGCATGCTTGTGCCCAGTCAGATTTCCAAGATGCCTGAAGAAACAAACAAACAAAGTAAACGTACAGCGCATTCATCTTTTCTCGTAGACGCCGAGGCCTTTTTTGTCTTAATCACGTCATTTGCAACAAAAGCAATTAACCCAGACTGTCTATTCGCTTTGTTTTAATGCTGAATAGACGTTTAAATGTGCTGAAAAGACATTCAGCACGGTAATGGTATTTCTGTGAAGAAACAATTACCCGTAATGACA